AACACTAGGTCACCTCTGCAGCCTCACTTAGCCAATTGCAGGAATTTTTCACCTCTGCTCTGCAAGTAGGTATAGCCTTGAAAAGAGTATAAACAACTCTCAAAACACAGGGATGAAATTAAGAGCCATATGCACCAAACAAATGGAGCTTACACACACACACACACACACACACACACACACACACACACAGCTTCAGAGAAAGAGAAAAAGTGAAGGGAGAGGAAAGATTATTCCCGAAGCATTGTCTTTAATCCAATTTATTTTGGATTTAATCTCCCAAACAAGGCTGGCCTGCATATTCCCAATTATAATGGCACGTGTAATCAGTGTCCTCATTAACAAAGACGGCCTATATTGTCTATTAGGAATGGAAATCTGAAATGCAAATTCAGCAAATCAAAACATTAAATGAGCTCTACCCAAGAAGATGCTCTGAGCTCCTGCCAGGGTGGTGCTGGCCGACACCTGCCCCGAATTCTCCCTCCAGCAGAACATTTCATTCCGTTCCAGTCTTTGCCTCCTAATTGACCTGCTTATGATCTCTCCTACAATTAACATATGCTTATTAGTAATGGCTGGTTAAAGATTTCAAACTGCCGCAGTTTACAAAGTCTAATAGAGATGGCACACCACAGGAAAGATGAGCCACACTCTCCCCTCACCGGCAGCCTCTCAGTAGCTTGGTATCATGCCCTGGAAATGAGATAATTTTTCACACCATTGGAAAATCCACTCTAATTGAAACGGGAAATCGGCATGTAAAAATAGCTCAGGGCTCCCTATGTGCTGCCGGAGAATCAGTTAGCAAGCTTGATTTCCGTTCCCTTCAGTGAAAACGCTCAGTAGCCACTGAAAGCAAGCGAAGCCAAAAGAACACGGAGAAAACGTACAGCAAACATATATAGAGGCCAGTCCCAAGCCGTGTTTTATTGATTGAGGCAAGGTTGATTGTAAATGAGAAACAAACAGATACACTTTTTATGTTACAGTAATGGAATAAAAACAGCCCAGCTGTGAGATCAAACTTTTATGTTGGTTCAATTCAGCTGTGTCACCCAAGCCTCTTTTAGACAGGTTTCCAGCAGTGCCAAAGTTCTGGAGATCCCACAGACCATTTGGAGCAACAAGGTTTTGCAGAAATTAATCATCATCATCATCATCATCATCATTTATTTATACCCCTCCCATCTGGCTGGGTTTCCCCAGCCACTCTGGGGGGCTTCCAACCAAACATTAAAAACAATACAGTATCAAACATTAAAAACTTCCCTAAACAGGGCCTCCTTCAGTTGTCTTTTAAAAGTAAAATAGTTGCTTATTGCCTTGATATCTGCTGGGAGGGCGTTCCACAGGGCAGGCACCACTACCGATAAGGCCCTCTGCCTGGTTCCCTGTAACCTCACTTCTCGCAGCGAGGGAACCGCCAGAAGGCCCTCAGCATTGGACCTCAGTGTCCAGGCTGGATGATGGGGGTGGAGACGCTCCTTCAGGTATACAGGACCAAGGCCGTTTAGGGCTTTAAAGGTCAGCACCAACACTTTGAATTGTGCTTCGAAACGTACTGGGAGCCAATGAAGATCTTTCAGGACTGGTGTTATATGGTCTTGGTGGCCAGTCCCAGTCACCAGTCTAGCTGCCGCATTCTGGATTAATTGCAGTTTCCGAGTCACCTTCATAGGTAGCCCCACATAGAGCACATTGCAGTAGTCCAAGTGGGAGATAACTAGAGCATGCACCACTCTGGCAAGACAGTTTGCAGGCAGGTAGGGTCTCAGCCTGCGTACCAGATGAGCTGGTAGACAGCTGCCCTGGACACCATCTCTGATCCTGGAATTCTGGCATCCATGGATTATCAGAAGGGCTGCTGAACTTTGTTGGAAGAGCATCTGTGTTACATGTGGAAGATCTTGGTTCAAGCCCAGGCATCTCCAGGTAGGACTGGGAGAGACGCCTACCTGAAACCTTGAAGAGCTGTTGCCAATCAGCACATACAATACTGAGCTTGATGGACCAACGGCCTGACTCAATCTAAGGCAGCTTCCTCTGGGTGGTATCCAATGTTACAGTCCAGCTGGTGCAACAGACTTCCATACATGCAAAGTATTGGTGCAAAGAAAATATAAAAAGGAGAACGCCTGGGTGCCAAGATCCAAGTTTGGAGAAAGTACTCTTTGGTAAGAGAATGCCAGCAGAGATTTAAAATCACAAAATATGTGGCAAAGTAAAGCAAGGAAATAAATGTTGTTAGAGCTTTAAAAATGCCTTTCCAAGTGAGTTGCAAAATTTCCCCTTAAAAAGTTAAATTCCAAAGTTTCCCTCTTCCCCCAGCATAGGAAAGACCATGCGTTTGGGAAGTTTAAAAATTGTTTACTTACAAACTCTGCAAAGGTCAGATTCATGTGCTTTTCCATACACCAGTCAGAAAAGCTGCACAGGCAGTAAAACTTAGCTTAGTTACAAAGTGGTAAAAGTTTCTAGAATATTGGTAGAGGAACTCAAGAGTGGCTGGTGAGAGCCAGGAGGCTGAGTGGGAGCAACCAGCTGAAACCTCTTCACACACTGAGCTTCTCAGGTAGCGAGTGCAAATAAAGTAGGCTTGGTGACCTATTTCCTCCCAAGAAAAGGGGAGTAACATAGCTAAACCTGGCAGGGCAGCTTACTCTATGGTATTAACCCCCTCATGAGTTAAATAGACTTAAGGATGTTGGTTATATGAGGCTGGTTGTCCCGCAAGCAACTTCTTCTCTGGGCAACAGCTGGTGCAAGGTTCACATCTGTATCATCTGTGATAGGCTTCCACTTTTGCAATTGCTTTCTTTTCTGAACACAATCAGTGGGCAAATAGTTCACAATCACTTGCTTGGATAACAGAGTCAAACACTAAGCACTGCCCCCACCACCTAATATATCTTCACCACCAATGTAATGGCATTCCATGTGGATGCTAGTAGCACTGGGGCGGGGGGACTTGTGTTCCTCCAGATGTTGCTGGACTACAACTCCCATCATCCCTTGCCATCGGCCATGCTGGATGGAGGTAAAGGGGCTGCAAGAGTTACGTGAAAGAAAAAGCCAGAGTCTCAAGTCCCTGATTCAAATTTTACCATGCACTCACTAGCAGGATAAGGGACACACCTCTTTCAGGGTTGCCATATTTCAAAAAGTGAAAATCTGGACACAAAATTTGTTGAGCATTTTTTGGGGGGGAGCAAAGTTTGATGTTTTTGAGCTATTTTGAGAGAAATTCAACACTTCCGACATGGGTTGCCATACACCTGGATGTTCCCAGACATTTTGGCGATTTCCACCCAGACACTGTTTCTAACAACTGAATCCTGACTACGTCCAGGAAATTCTGGACATATGGAAACCCAATCTATTTCTTTTCTGGAAGAAAAAATACACACCTATATGTATAATGATCCTTTTATGACCTACTTTAGGCCACATTGTCACCCAGTTATGGGTCCTGACTGGTCAGTCAAAGCTCAGAGCTCCTCAACTATGGGTGGGGAATATTTGGTTATAATCCATGCATTGCAATAGTTAAAAGTAAATGCTGCTTTTTTCTCCCTCTCCATTTCTCTCAGCTCAGCCTTACTTATGTGTTGAAGATAGTAAAGTGTGTTTTCAGGAAAATTGCAATGCCAGGATAAAAAGGAAAAGGTGCAGTATCTGCAATCTATGGCACACACCTTGAGGCCAGCACAAAGCAGCTTTTAAATGAAAATGAATTTGTGCTTACCTTATGAATGAAAAACTGTAGCATCAAGAAACATGAGAAACTTGTGCAGCACAAATCAAACCAGATTGACATTTGAATTTCATTCTCAGCTCAATTTGTGCCTTCGATCAAACAAAAAGGACCTTCCTGCACAGACTTAAGAGTACTCAAATCAGATCTGAAATTGTAATCTGCACAAGAAACAACAAATAAGTGGTTTCATTTACTTCAAAGGGAAAGCCCTTAAAATGCATAAAGGGAGTCTGGATTAGCATCCATATTTACTTCTTAAAGGAAAATAAAAATTGCTGACCAGGAAAAAAACAACAACCCATAATTACCAGGACAGAATCTGCCCCTGGAAGCAAGTCTCATTGAAGTCAAAGCAAGTTTCAGAAAAATATCTAAGGGTACAATTAAATGTACATAATTTTTCTACACATATTCAAGAGTAAGAATGCATTTATTCAGGTCATCTCAAGTACCTGCAAAGCAGCAAAATATGAATAAATGTAGCCTTGAACGTTTTTGAAAAATGCATATTATCATTCCACAGCAGCGAATATTATGGACCACAATTCACTATGTTTCCTGCATGTTTCCACAATCCAACTAGGCTGTTACTGAGTCCCATGCAAAGCAATGGGACTTAGAATCATAGAAACATAGAATCATAGAGTTGGAAGAGACCACAAGGGCCATCGAGTCCAACCCCCTGCCAAGCAGGAAACACCATCAGAGCACTCCTGACATATGGTTGTCAAGCCTCTGCTTAAAGACCTCCAAAGAAGGAGACTCCACCACACTCCTTGGCAGCAAATTCCACTGTCGAACAGCTCTTACTGTCAGGAAGTTCTTCCTAATGTTTAGGTGGAATCTTCTTTCTTGTAGTTTGGATCCATTGCTCCGTGTCCGCTTCTCTGGAGCAGCAGAAAACAACCTTCCTCCCTCCTCTATGTGACATCCTTTTATATATTTGAACATGGCTATCATATCACCCCTTAACCTCCTCTTCTCCAGACTTGAGTTAGTCACAAATATAATTAGGTTTCAATGGAACTTTAGCTGAACTATGGTTTCTGACTTTAAGCAGGATAATAATTACATGTGTGTACACATAAAGGGAGGAACGCGGGTGGCGCGTTCTGTGGGTTAAACCACAGAGCCTAGGACTTGCCAATCAGAAGGTTGGCGGTTTGAATCCCCACGATGGGGTGAGCTCCCGTTGCTCAGTCCCTGCTCCTGCCAACCTAGCAGTTCAAAAGCACATCAAAGTGCAAGTAGATAAATAGGTACTGCTCCAGCGGGAAGGTCAACGGTGTTTCCGTGCGCTGCTCTGGTTCACCAGAAGTGGCTTAGTCATGCTGGCCACATGACCCGGAAGCGGTACGCCAGCTCCCTCAGCCAATAAAGCGAGATGAGCGCCGCAACCCCAGAGTTGGTCACGACTGGACCTAATGGTCAGGGGTCCCTTTACCCTTTACCTTTACACATAAAGGGGGTTCACACATGGATAGGATCATAGAGCCATATGGACTAGTCACCCATACCACCACAATGATCCCCTAATATCTACACACTTGACATATGCCAGGAGTTCAGTGTGCATACTGATGTTTGCATAGCGCTTTCCCAGGCTCAATCCAGATCCTATCTTGCATTTGAAGCTCTGCAGGCATATATCACCAAATGCGAAGAACTACTTCCAATTCAACACATACATGTCCCATAATTTTTTGATACACATGGTAGAAATAGTGTGGACTCCGTTTTGGAACAAGCACTCGTGGGACGGAACCAGGTCAAATAAAAAGAAGGAGACTTCACTTTCAACATTCCTCCGTTGGAGGAACTGTCCATTTAGTCCTGCTCTCCTCTTCCTGCTTCTTAAACCGTTACTGATCCACAAAAGGACCTCTCATCTTATTTCATGACTGCTAGGTTTACTAAGGAGTCTGTTGTCAGAAGCTTTTTGAAAGTCTAAACACACAATGACAGCTAAAACACCTCTATCTATATGCTTGCCAACACTCTCAAAGAAGTCTAAAGCATTAATGAGATAGGACTTAGCCTTGCAGAAACCATGCTGATTCTGCATCAACAAGACTTGTTCTTCCTAATGCTTTGTAATTTTATCCTTAACAATGTTTTCCACCTTCCTGAAACTGAAGCTAACTAGCATGTAATGTCTGTGATTCCCACCCCACCCTGAATATATCCCTTTATTAAAGTTTATGTTATATTTCAATCCTCAGATATGGCTGCTGATATGGACATGTTCAATATTTTTGGAAGTACAGCACTGTCACCTTTGAGTTCTTAAAAAAAAACACACCACATTTGAGTTTTTAAAGATATTTCGGGGGGATGTCCCCCCAACACACACATACACACTATTTAAGGAAGGCAAGAAAAGAAACAGATATAAATGCAATGTTATTTGGAAAGGGAAGGGTTAAAGTGATAAATTTGATTCCTAGAGAGGAGAGGCAGACTACAGAGAATGAAATGGCTAGAGCAATCTAGGGTTTTCTTTGCCCGAGCAAAAATCAAACAGCAGTGAGAAAGGCCATGTACACCTGGGGAAATTCCATTGTGGGGCATTAGTTTGTTTTAAAATCAGATTATCTCAGAAACTGAAGAAGGAAATGGAGATTTTTGTTCACAGTATCCTAGAAATGCCCTTTAAAATTTGAGTGAACCAAGTGCATCTATTTCATTATAAATGCCCAGTGTGGAATCAGCCTGAGATACCGTTTACCAGCGTGATCCAGCCAGTTCAGCAATAGCAGCAGTCTTACCCCGATGATGTCATTACACACTTTTCTCCAGCAACTCCAATGGAATGACAGCATAACTGACCACTGGTTTGTCCCCCTAGGAAACCTTCTGTCTGCAATCTTCATCAGATAACTTTTACCCCTAGACACACTTCCAGAGAATCAATACAACAGGCAAAAGAATATAAGCGCAGTTATACCGGGGAGAAACTGTGTGCAGGTTAAATGTGTTTCTCTCCACTGGTGTCTGCGATGACATACAACTGACCTCATAAATGTCTTATGAGGCCGAACAAACTCTGCTCTCTAGCAAAAACTGCCATCACTCCCATCCTTCTTGTCCTGAGGCTCCGCTGGCAAAGTGCCATAAAGCATCAGTATTGATATTTTGTGGCATTCAAATTGTGAGGGACCTCCTCTAAGCAAGAGAAGTGAGGATATTAAGGCAATCTGTCCGTGTCACTGCTAATTACAACAATATAAACTAAATTTACAGCATATGCCAACATGTGATATGAATTTGCAACAAGCACCAAAACCTTTCCTTGGCATTATCAGCAAAGCCCTTTTGTGAATGGTAGCTTGGAGAAAAACTCGGATGCAGTTTTAACCTTACCCACCCAACTGAATAGAGCCTGCTTATTTCCTATGGCTTATTCCGTTCTGTTAAATATTTGACAAAGCTGCTGCCTTTGTTAGAAAGGTTCCTTTGCTAGAATGGTTGATAGTCCAGAATGATCTGTTGAGGTTTCTTTCTCTTCCATTAATGGAAGCTAATGGTTTGGAGGTGATCCATGATACTTAGCATCCTCTCAGCTGAGAACAGGGGCAGGTGTGTGTCAAAGAGAGAAGGCCAGGCATCCACATGGCATACCGGGTCATCTGCCAGGGTCCGCACACCCTGTAAGGCTCATTGAGCATGACACCTTTCCTGAGCCCCACCTCCATTTTCTGTTAGAATTCCTGCTCCATGGTTGCAGTCATGGGATTGCTGTCTTTCACATGACAGTATATGTTTTGACTCCACAGAGTGGGAAGTGACAGAGACAGGATGTTTGTGTTACTGTGTTCCGTGAAGTGGGACTATTCTCCTTTATTCTTTTTCTCTTTGCTGTCTGATGCTAGAGAGAGAGGGAGCCATGTTGCAGTGCTCTGTGTGTGTATATGTAAATAAGGCAGATTAGCCAAAATGCTGAGTTGCTGAGGTCTGTCACGCAAACTGCGAACACTCTGCGGATCCCTAAGTGTGCCAGTGTCTGTTGGCATCAGTCACTGTGATGTTCGGGCTGAAGAAAGCTCCCGAACGATCGACCAGGAGGGAGAGAACATGCCAGTCGGGCATGTTTCTCTACCAGGGTCCTACTCAAGTGTAGGCTGAGCTCCTGACATTTTCAACCACCACTTCCAGCAATGTGGCTGCAGCTGTGGCTGGTCCTGCAGCAAGTCTGCCCAGCCACTTGCCTTCCCACCTAGGCAGATTTAGCCAGTGACAGAGTTATGAGAATCAAGCAACAACTACGCTGCTCAAAGGTAAGTGGCTGATTGGCTCCCAGCCTGTTCTAGACCCACAGCCTCTGCTGCCTAGTAAACCCATTCACTCACTCAGTGTCATGAACTGGTTGGACGCAGAGGAAAGGTGGGAGGAAGCAGCTGGGGAACCACCAAGGGAAGAAGAAGGCTCAGGGCTCGGGGATTGGTGGTGAGGCGACTGAGAGGAGAAGGCGTCAGAAGCTGAAGAGGTAACAAGGTTTAGTGAGCAGGGAGAGTCTGTAGCAGAGAGAAGACCAGAATCAGAATCAGAAGCTGATTCAGGAGAGCCCTTCTCTCCTGCATCAGCTTCTGCCAAGAGACGGAGATGACTCATGCTGATGAAGAGTCACACGTATCTCCCCCTCCTGCTGCGACAAGCTCCCCTCCCCTCCTGTTCTCCCAGAACCAGGAGAGGCATGGAAAGGGTGGAGAAGTTGGCATCACACACACAGACATTTCCCAATTGCTTGGGAAGAACCATGGAGAGGTTCTTAGATGGCTATGCAGAGGTCTCAGCCGCTGATCCATTGGGCAAGATCTACCGCTTATGAGCTGCTGTGTTCGTTAGACCCGACACTCCACCAAGTCTGTGCAGATTGTGTTATTGTTAATAAAGTGTTAACTCTTAACTTGCATGGTGTGATTTATTGCCAGCCTGATTTACTGCTGAGGTGTCAGCAGGAATTATGCCCTAAGAGCTAAAAACATTCCCTTTTCTTTTCTTCCTCTCTCTGTTAGCAAAACTTAAAAGAAAGTTATGGTTCTTGGGATGCTGAACTCTGCGCCTGCCCCCTTCATATCAATTTCTGAACTTCAATAAGGCAATTATAAAATTGCAGAAGATTTCTATCACTGCTTCAGCTCATACTTGCCCTTCATAAAACTCAGCAATCATGTAGGGAAATGCATGCTTGCAATTCAGGCACGAGCACACACCTTTCAAAGCAGAGATTCAATGTGCTATGGACGTTTCCTGATGCATATTATGAGCTGATGTTTGCCATAGGGTCTGGCTAATCCTGCTCCATTTATTGGAGGGCCGTTTCAGCGGCAGTGTCAACAGCATGATTTGATCAGGTCACCCTTGCCTGGGAAAATGATGTAAAAGGTCTCCCGTGGGCAGGATTGTATTAGGCACATTTCAGAGGTTTTTCAGACAAGAGCATAATTATTAGTAGAGGAGGAGGAGGAGGGAAGGGATATTTGTCAGAGGAAAATCTGAATAAGAAGCTATTGCCTAGCATTTAGAGATCCATGAGCAACAAGGTGAAGTAACTAAACAAGAAGCACCACATTTATAGTGCAGTCCTAAACATAACAGCTCAGAAGTAAATGCCATTGTGTTCAGGAGGGCTGACTCCCAGATAAGTGGGTATAGGATTGCAGCCTAAAATCTGTTAGAGCTGTTCAGCTGAATCTCTGATCTGGACCTTGTATAGAAATAAATCTTCTATCTACACCAAGAATCAATTTCAAAGCTTTACTGCAGAACAGTCTTAAAGCTAGTTACATATCAATGTTACAAAGGAACAAAGGAACACATTGCAATCAAGTAGCAACACAGTTCAGTCCTTTAAGTCCTCTAACACAGTCCAAGAACTTCTCTCTCTGATCCCAGAGAGAGACTACACTATGCTGGAAGCTCCTTTTCTAAACACATTGAACTGAAGAAGAAGAAGAGTTTGAATTTGATATCCCGCTTTATCACTACCCTAAGGAGTCTCAAAGCGGCTAACATTCTCCTTTCCCTTCCTCCCCCACAACAAACACTTTGTGAGGTGAGTGGGGCTGAGAGACTTCAGAGAAGTGTGACTAGCCCAAGGTCACCCAGCAGCTGCATGTGGAGGAGCGGGGAAGGAAACCCGGTTCACCAGATTACGAGTCTACCACTGTTAACCACTACACCACACTGGCTCCCTGGTGACAGGTCTGTGCAAAGGAGAGGTAAACTGGGTACACTTGCCCTAAGCCTCGGAGGGCTAAGCTGGCTGGAGGATCCTGCCAGGGACCAGCTGCTTTTTGTCTGAGTTCATAACTTTATTCTAGCAAGATTCGCATCTCAGGCCTCAAACAAGTGCTGGGGGATAGCCCCGTTTTCTCATGGTCACTGGCTATTGCATTCACCAAGGGATTCCCATCTAAAGAACTGAACGGAAATTCAGTGTGTGCAAAATCCAAGCTGTGCAAATTCAGTCCATGTGTTTGAGGTTAGAATGCCATGCCCTCCAAGGATCCTGACTTTCCAGAGACAGCTTTCATTTCAAAAAGCAATATCAACGTCGTTTTACTTATGGAGATGTAGAAGAAAGTGTGCAGGTTGTATTTCCCCCAGTTCCCCAGTAAGATGTAAATCTGCCTCTGCCACCACCCCTTCCAGAGTTCCAGCCAAAGGTACTGCAATAATTGACAAGCACTTGGCATTTTTAAACTGTAAACACATCAGACTACTTGTGTTTTGAGCTTGCCATTTCACATTGACTTATGCCTCTCCAGAGCCACAAGAAAAATTTATGTTTACAGAGCTGATGCAGAACCAGCCATCGGAGAATCAAAACTTGCTTTGGTGCCACTTCCAACATTGCTGATTCTTTGTGCAAACTAAGAGTATAACTCAGAATCTTCTGATAAATCTAGGGCAGGGGTGTGGGACCTCAGGCGCCCTTATTTGTCCCAGGCCACACTGCTCACAGGCCCTGGCTCTATGCTCTCCGGAGTGCTTTTGTGAGGCTAGAATGTGCCCCTTGTTTGCTTGCCTGACAGCCTCTGGTTTCTGTATGGCTGAAGTGTCACATACCATGCAAAGGTAAAAGTCACATCAATTGGCCTGCACATTTTGGCCCACAATCAGGGTTCCTGTCCTTTTGTTGCAAACCCTTTGAGCAAGTATGGTAGCCACTTTCAGACTCAATGCCAATCCTGCACTGGTCAGGAAGTGCACCTGACAAATGCAGCATCACCACTGAGATTCACACCACACATTCCCACTTGCCCCTTCAAATGTTCCAACTAAACACCTGAAGATGACATACGTGATCCCTGATTGGGTGGAATGACTACATGGATGATTCTGGTAGGAAGAAGAACAAGAAGCCACAGGAGACATTGGTACCACAGTATTGTTGGGGGAGAGGGGATATCCACCCTGCTGAATACCTAATCCTGATTCACAAAATGATTCTGGTAAATTGTCAACCTAGTGCTAAGTTTAAGACAATAGTTTCCTGTTGTTCTTGCAAAGCTCCTGCCAGTTTCACATTCTGACATAGTTTCTCCCAGAATACTTTTCTGTAAGTGTTTCCTCTAGGGTTTAAGACCACATAAAGGAGAGATCCACAAAAGTGCCCTGTCACAAAACTTCTGGTGTTTTTGTGGAGCAGGAACAATTGACAGTTTTATATCCATGCAAATGAACTAAGAAAAGTTGAAACTTAGAAATAAGTTGAAATGTATTCATCCCCCTTTCACAAAAGCAAATACATACTTCCTTTCTTTCCCAAGCAAAACAAATCAAGTAGATTAACACCAACCATTTGTGCTTAAAGGGTCACTTTATTAAAAGCCGTTTTGAGTTTTAATAAAGACTTTTATTTTCACTGTCATTGCAGTTACGAAAAGCATTGCTCAGGAGTCAGAAGGCAGAAAGCAGTTCATTCTGAGCAGTGTTTACTTTTAAGTTGTGAGCATTTTTTTTCCAAGTGTGCTTTGGAATGACTGTTATGATCTATTGTAAATTATGAATGCTCCCGGCATTTCTTGCATAAATAGATACTGGCAGGTCTTAAATATTCCTGTACATCTCCATGACATTTTTGTTAGATGAGTACAGTTTAAAGCATATCTGTGTCCTGTTGGATTCTGGGGTAACATTCGTCTCAATAAAGTAAGAAAGCCAAAAAAGAAAAGCATCTCAAGGGTATGTAGTTGTGGCAAAGACTTTCTTGTCTACTCTCTAAAATGAAACAATGACAAAAGAGCCCCACCAGCACTTGTTAACAATCAAACCAAGGAAGGACTCCAGTGGGCTGTCTATAAAGCAGAGCCCAATACCAACACGATTCTGTTTTCATAAAATTTCTTTATTAAAGGCCTAGTTCTCTTGCTCTAGTGCTCAAAACAGGAAAGGGCAGATCAACACCACATATTTAAAGTTTATTCAACGCACATTTAAAGCACATAAAGGTAAAGGGACCCCTGACCATTAGGTCCAGTCGTGACCGACTCTGGGGTTGCACGCTCATCTCGCTCTATAGGCCGAGGGAGCCAGCGTTTGTCTGCAGACAGCTTCCGGGTCATGTGGCCAGCATGACTAAGCCGCTTCTGGTGAACCAGAGCAGCACACGGAAATGCCGTTTACCTTCCCGCCGGAGCGGTACCTATTTATCTACCTGCACTTTGACATGCTTTTAAACTGCTAGGTTGGCAGGATGTTGTTGTTTAGTCGTTTAGTCGTGTCCGACTCTTCGTGACCCCATGGACCAGAGCATGCCAGGCACTCCTGTCTTCCACTGGTTCCCGCAGTTTGGTCAGACTCATGTTTGTAGCTTCGAGAACACTGTCCAACCATCTCGTCCTCTGTCGTCCCCTTCTCCCTGGGCCCTCCATCTTTCCCAACATCAGGGTCTTTTCCAGGGAGTCTTCTCTTCTCATGAGGTGGCCAAAGTATTGGAGCCTCAGCTTCAGGACCTGTCCTTCCAGTGAGCACTCAGGGCTGATTTCCTTCAGAATGGATAGGTTTGATCTTCTTGCAGTCCATGGGACTCTCAAGAGTCTCCTCCAGCACCATAATTCAAAAGCACCAATTCTTTGGCGATCAGCCTTCTTTATGTTCCAGCTCTCACTTCCATACATCACTACTGGGAAAACCATGGCTTTAACAATACGGACCTTTGTTGGCAAGGTGATGTCTCTGCTTTTTAGGATGCTGTCTAGGTTTGTCATTGCCTTTCTCCCAAGGAGCAGGTGTCTTTTAATTTCGTGACTGCTGTCACCATCTGCAGTGACCATGGAGCCCAAGAAAGTAAAATCTCTCACTGCCTCCATTTCTTCCCCTTCTATTTGCCAGGAGGTGATGGGACCAGTGGCCATGATCTTCGCTTTTTTGATGTTGAGCTTCAGACCAACATAACTTCCCTCAAAGAATCCAGGGAATTGTACTTTCTTCCACCGGAGACCTGCAATTCCAAGCACCCTCAACAAACTACAGTTCTCGGAATTCTCTGGGAGAAGTCATGTGCTTCAAATGTGCATTCCCCTCAAAAAGTCAAACTTTCTGAACAAGGAAATTTCAAATGGACAATCTTACTCTCCAGGGCAAGGCAGGTCACATGACCTCCCCATACAGGGCTGACCAGATGTCAGATAGTTTTTTATTTCCTTGACATTTGACAGGAAGGTGTTCCACAGGGTGGGCTCAACTACTGAGAAGGCCCTCTGCCTGGCTCCCTGTAACCTCACTTCTTACAGTGAGGGAACCACCAGAAGGCGGATCTCAGTGTCTGTGCTGAATGACTGGGGTGGAGATGCTCCTTCGCGTATACTGGGCCAAGGCCATTTAAGGCTTTAAAGGTCTGCACCAACACATTTTTTTGTGCTCAGAAACGTACTGGGAGCCAAGGCAGTTCTTTTAGGACTGGTGTTATATGCTCCCCGCAGCCACTCAGAGTCACCAGTCTGGCAGCCACATTCTGGATTAGTAATAATAATAATAATAATAATATTTATACCCCGCCCATCTGGCTGGGTTTCCCCAACCACTCTGAGCAGCTCCCAACAGAACATTAAAAACACGATAAAAGATCAAACATTAAAAACTTCCCTAAACATGGTTGCCTTCAGATGACTTCTAAAAGTCAGTTAGTTGTTTATTTCCTTGACATCTGAGGGGAGGGCATTCCACAGGACTGGGGCCACTACCGAGAAGGCCCTCTGCCTGGTTCCCTGTAACCTCACTTCTTGCAGTGAGGGAACTGCCAAAAGGCCCTCAGAGCTGGACCTCAGCATCTGGGCTGAACGATGGGGGTGGAGATGCTCCTTCAGGTATACTGTAGTTTCCGAGTCACCTTCCAAGGTAGCACTAGCTCAAGTGGGAGATAACCAGAGCAATGTGCAGGGTCTCAGCCAGCTTACCAGATGAAGCTGGTAGACAGCTGGTGTGTGTTTTTATGCACTAAATTGTTATAGGACCCATGCCATTCCTGGCACTGTGACCTGTCATGACTGTTTTTAACACTGAATTTTAAATTGTTGCACCTCACCAATGACCTGGTGTGAAGGGCGGGTAACAAACTGAACAACAAACAAAAGCAACACTTACAAAGCAAAATCATGAAGCAAAAACAGGATGCAAGTAGGAAGCATTACCCTTGCTCCAAATAGGCTTCCTGAACCACCCAACCAATTAGATTTGCATGTGTCATGATGATACAAAGCCAAATCAGAGAGGGGGGGGCAACGTTTCCTGCCCTCACACTGATTTGGCAGACATTTTCTCGCTGTATGATCAAAATGAGGGGGTGCTTTCCATGGGAGCATGAAACTTGCCCCCTTTTCAGCTCAGCCTGTTTATACCATGTACATTTTGTATTTTCCTTCCTTCAGCAGAAAACCCCAAACTTTTGACTCATCTCACCAATCTCCCCTTGCGCTGCCAGATCTTCCAACGGCTCTCCCTCTTAACTGTTATGAACAGACAATCTTCCCTTTAGCACACTGATTATGCACAGAAGACATCGCTGAGCTGTACCGCAAGGTGTTAGAATTACATTGTCTATGACAGATCAATTTGTTTTCCATAAAGGTGGCACATCGGGCTAGGGAATTGAAGTCTCTAACATTGCAGAGACTCCTGGCACCTGTTCGCTGCTTGTGGAGCTCAGGAGTTTGGCTCGGGTGGACTATTTTGCCTATCAATGGAGTTTCCTTCCATAGTATGCGTAGGATTGCAGCCTAAGGCTAGAATCCTATACACCAGGGATGTGGCACCTGTGGCCCTCTGGTTTTTTGTTCGACTACAATTCCCTGAGTGCTCACTGGAAGGACAGATCCTGAAGCTGAGGCTCCAATACTTTGGCCACCTCATGAGAAGAGAAGACTCCCTGGAAAAGACCCTGATGTTGGGAAAGATGGAGGACACAAGGAGAAGGGGACGACAGAGGACGAGATGGTTGGACAGTGTTCTTGAAGCTACCAGCATGAGTTTGACCAAACTGCGGGAGGCAGTGGAAGACAGGAGTGCCTGGCATGCTCTGGTCCATGGGGTCACGAAGAGTCAGACACGACTAAATGACTAAACAACAACAACAACAATCCCCATCACTCTGAACATTGGCCACGCAGGTCGGTGTTGATAGGAGATGGAGTCCCACAACAAACATTACTTAGTTTGGCTACTTAATATTTATTTTCTGCTCTCCTATAACAACATAGCACATTACAAAAATGAAGAAAGAATGGGTAAATTGATCTGAAAGTTCATGAGCATGACCAAGAACTGGGGTGTGTTCATTGGCTAACTGAAATATAATATTAATACATTCTTGCAATAAGGATAAGATATCCCAGTTTATGTGGGGACGTGGGTGGCGCTGTGGGTTAAACCACAGAGCCCAGGACTTGCCGATCAGAAGGTCGGTGGTTCGAATCCCCGCGACAGGGTTAGCTCCCATTGCTCAGTCCCTGCTCCTGCCAACCTAGCATTTCGAAAGCCCATCAAAGTGCAAGTAGATAAATAGGTACCACTCCGGTGGGAAGGTAAACAGCGTTTCCGTGCGCTGCTCTGGTTCGCCAGAAGCGGCTTAGTCATGCTGGCCACATGACCCAGAAGCTGTACACCGGTTCCCTTGGCCAATAAAGCGAGATGAGTGCCGCAACCCCAGAGTCGGTCACAACTGGACCTAATGGTCAGGGGCCCCTTTACCTTTACCTATCCCGGTTTATTGTCAACTTCTAGCATGATGTTCTGAAATTCACAGATTTTCTCCAAGGGTTCATTGGTAGAGTCGCCTAGCCGACTTCTGCAGCATGTTGCTTGTCCCCACTATGTGACTGCAACATCAGCTCACAGTAGGGTTGAAGGGGAAATTTGACTTTGCATCCAGATGATTTGCACTTCTCTGAACAGGGACAGATTTAGGTTTGATGAGGCCCTAAGCCAGCAGTTCTCAACCTGTGGGTCCCCAGAAGTTGTTGGACTACAACTCCCATCATCCCTGAGCTCTGGCCTTGCTAGCTAGGGGTGATGGGAGTTGTAGTTCAACAACATCTGGGGACCCACAGGTTGAGAAAGGCTGCCCTAAGCTACTGAAGGTAATGGGGCCCTTTATATGTCCAGTTGTCCTTTGCCAACAACAAATTGTCACTGACAACAAATTGTCGGTGTTGAATATATGCTATATGGAATTTATGGACCAAATAGGTATCTACAGACATTTGCACATAACAAAATATGTATTTTATCAAAGTAATTGTTGAACTGAAATATAATTGCGTGGCGAGTTCCCGCCCCCCACCAGGATAAATAAAGACACAAGACACCAAATTTAAGGTTAAATGGGCGAATTAGGCCACAACTTTATTGAATTCAGGAATGAGAGGCATTGGCTTAGGCATTGGTCCTATCGACTATCCGGGTCCAGCCCATTTGCTGGAGACACGGGAAGGGTTAACACCATAGAGGGGGAGTCTCCTGCTGAGGCACGTCAACTAGGAGCTCCCCCGGGTCACCGCTCAGGGGCGTGCCTTTGGCCCACACCTCCATAGGCTTCGGACAGGGCCATGCCTCCCGGAGTCCTTTATCAGACCACCCTTCGTTCACTGGGGGGAGGTGATGGCGTTCCTCCCCCCCCCACACATCCTCTTAACCCCTTCTTACCAATGCCTAACCGCCAATGCCGAGGAGTTGTGACGAGTTGCTACGAGGTAGGCGAAAAACCAAATGGCTGTAAATTGCCAAATGGGAAAAATTCCTACCATACCCCTTGCGGCGACAGACCAAAGTCCATAGCAAAGTCAGAGACCTACCTAAAGCCTACCCACAGGGAGGGAGGGTGGGAAAACATGGGGGCTAGCCAGCGAAAAGAGGGCGAGCCCCCTCTGTGCCGGCCCTAAATAGGGCAGGCCACCCCCCCCCCAGCCAGCCAATCGGGTGGTTGGGGGGACGACACGGTCGGGATTCCCCTGCTCTCGCGGGGGCTGAAACCAGCCCCCGCTCAAGTGGGGGTGGGCGTGAAGCCCGCAACCCCACCTCCTGGGCAGGCCGGAAGTGGCTTTAAGAAGAAGTATATTAATAGTGAAATACAATTAAGAAGAAATATATAATTACCATTGATATTTTAGGGAGCAGGCTAGCGGGCAGGGCCCATTACTTACATCATAGGAGCCTAAACAACACAAAACAGTGTTGCTGTATGTAAGTTTTATTTTATTTGTTTTTTATCTTATATTTTGGAAATGAACATCAATCTTTTTCCTTTAATTTTTTTGGGGGGGCCCAAGAGAATGGGGCCCTAAGCTATAGCTTGTTTAGCTTATACGTAAATCTGGCACTGTCTCCGACCAGTATACCAAAATTCACGCTTCAAAATTCACACCTTTCTAGCCAAAGAATATGTACCAAAATGCATACAATGGTGGGGGAAATGCACAAGATTGAATATGCATTTGCGAATATAATGTACAAAAATGTTGCATATTGGGTGTGAGTTGCTTGGGGGAAATGTGCATATTAGTAAAAAAAAAAATCTATGCAAAAAATGAGTTTACTAAGAGAAACACTAAAATGCTGACAAACTTTTTACATAAGGATTTTTCAAACAAACAATTTTTGTGAGGATTTTGAAAACAAATAATTGCCATTTCCTCTGGAAATGCGGATAACCGAATTTCAGACTGGAAAAATGAGAAACTTGGAGAGCCCACAGTGACCAATTCGTCCATCCCGAGCTCACAAGAAAAATCACCTTTCATGGTATCCTGTGATGGATACCTTCACTGGGTGTTTGTTTTTTTAAAATATTTTTTATTAGGAATTTCAACATAACATTTTATCAGAAAATATATCATCCTTAATTCCCCCTATTTTCCCCCTCCCCAAAATATAACCCCCACCCCACCCCCCAGACTTTCCTCAGCTCCTTTCTCTGGTTTATCAACATATGTTATTCTCTGCAAATTACAAAATTGTGCAGATCCTTAATTTATCTATCTAAATGTTGTCTATAAAAAGTTTGTGAATGTTTATTCAAAACCTGCCAAGGAGTCCAGTTCATTTTGTTGTTTCTTTAAATACTTTGTAAAGTGTTCCCATTCATCTTTAAAGGGGTACCTTCACTGTTAAGCTCATTTTCTACTTAGCTGAGAAATCATTCCCTCCTTAGAAAGCCAAATCATTGGCTCAGTAACACTGCCATATTATCCACAGGCATCATGGATCCTGCCTTGCTCTGAATGTAACAGTTGCTTCCTGGGATGGCCACCATCCATGCTAACACATTTGCCTGAGGGTAAGCCCTATTGAAGACAGAGAGGCCTCTATCTGAGTAAACACGCAGAGCATTACACTGGACACCAATTCATAATACCAGTGCAGAATCTACATTGGTCAAAATTGCAAATGTCTCTCTACTGCTCCTGATTTTACAATGCGCCCGAACTCATAGCAATAGCAGACAGAGCCAATGCAGCTGAAATCTTGTGTGGCGTAGGGGAGGAGGAACGCCCCAGCGTTCGATGAACTAGGAAGCATCCATGGTGAAAATGAATAAATATAGAATCCCCAACCTTGAACACAAATGCTAGGAAATCCCAAATGAGCCGTGCACGAAACATAAAAACAAACTCCAAATTTTAGGGTGACTTTGTTAAGCACTTTAAAGGCTAGTGTGTGTTCACAGTGACACTTGGTGTTCATTGCCGGGGAATGCACTTCAGCTGTGAAACTGGAATGTTTGTGCTATACCCAAGGCCTCTTCTCTAACAAACATAATAATGAACTAGCCACATAATGTCGGTAGTGATGAAGGTGCAGACATCCAATTTGATGAAGGTCAAGGGCAAACAATGAAAGGAAATGTAGAAAGCTCAAAGATGAATCTACAGCGACATAAACAAACTGTGCCCAACTAACATATGAATCCTTTATCACTCAGCAGTATGTGTGTGCCCTTTTTTTTCCTCTTCGTGCAACTTTTGCTTCTCCTTTTTAACATCTCAACGCCTCTCACACCAGACAGATGAAACAATGTCAGTGGGAACACTGGGAACATTAAAACCGTTGCTTAATATCTCATCTTGAGATCTGTTCATGCCATCCATCATAATGCCACTGACATGGCGCAGCTTGTCAGCTATCACATGACATTGCTGTAGCAATAGTATTTAAACATATATTTATTTTATTTATTGATTAGATTTTTATACAGCCCTTCATCAAGAGATCTCTGGGCGGGTCACTGAATATAATACATGACAAAACACAAGAAATAATTAAACCAAAACAACAAAACAATAACCCCTCCCTCCCTGCAGAAACATTTAAAAGGCTGTAGGATATTAATCAGCCAAAAAAAGGAACATTTTTGCCTGGCGCTTAAAAATGTAGGTAAAAGGTAAAGGACAGTTAGGTCGAGTCATTGGCGACTTTGGGGTGCGGCGCTCATCTTGCTTTACAGGCCAAAGGAGCTGGTGTTTGTCCATAGACAGCTTTCCGGGTCATGTAGCCAGCATGACTAAACCGCTTGCGGCACAACAGAACACTGTGACGGAAACCAGAGCGCATGGAAATGCCGTTTACCTTCCCGCTGCAGCGGTACCTATTTATCTACTCGCACTGGTGTGCTTCCAAACTGCTAGGTTGGCAGAAGCTGGGACAGAGCAACGGGAGCTCATTCTGTCACATGGATTTGAACTGCCAATCTTCCGATCGGCAAGCGCAAGAGGCTCAGTGATTTAGACCACAGCGCCACCAGTGCGTCCTAAAAATATATAATGAAAGCTCCAGGCGAACCTCCCTGGGTAAAGCATTCCACAAACAGAGAGTCACTACTGAAAAGGCCCATTTTCATGTTGCCACCCTCTGGACCTCACATTGGAGGAGGAACATGAAGAAGGGTATCCATGGCTGCATTAAAAAATACAAAAACAAGCATGCATTTTCAAGTGAATTCCTTTCCTTTTAGAAACACAGCCATACATTGCCCGCCTTATAGACAATGTGTGAGGGACTTTCCAGCAACACGACATACACATGCTAAATGGTTCTCAGCGTATACAATGCAAGAGGCGAGATCCCCATGAGAACTTAAAAGAGTTGCTGTCACTCAGAGAAGATTCAGTTGACAATGAACGATCATTCACTTATATGCATAGGACTGCACAGCTGAGTTAAAACTATTCACAGTTTTATCATGAACATTTTAAGCCAATCCCCCAGCCTGGCCAAATATATCCTTTCTTTTTTTTTGCAGGGGATGAATTTCTGCAAATGTTCAGTTGTTCATTTCAAACTGATCTCTCACTCACTCACTCACACACAAACACACTTGCACTAGTCTGCCCTGTGTGACATCATCATTAGGCCAAATACAATTGGCTGAACAGCACCATGACATCATTCTGTTCACTACACAATCCGTATGAGATTGCCAAGTGATTCATCCAGGGGAATAGAAGCAGCAACAGACCAGAGGAAATGGTGTGGAAGAAGTACAGTGGTACCTCGGGTTAAGTACTTAATTCATTCCGGAGGTCTGTTCTTAACCTGAAACTGTTCTTAACCTGAAGCACCACTTTAGCTAATGGGACCTCCTGCTGCCGCCATGTGATTTCTGTTCTCATCCTGAAGCAAAGTTCTTAACCCGAGGTACTATTTCTGGGTTAGCGGAGTCCGTAACCTGAAGCGCCTGTAACCTGAAGTGTATGTAACCCGAGGTACCACTGTAGTAGCCAGGGAAAACAATGGTTGCAGGCAGATTTTTTTTAAAGGTGACTATCCACACAGTGTTTTGGGGAGAAATTTCCACCGCACAAAAATAACTAGCTTTGAGCTGAGATCACAAGCAGAGATTGTTTGGTGCCATCTTTATCTGTTTAGATTTCTATTTACACACACACCAGATGTAGTATAATGACCAGCCAGCCACTTTAATGATTATCTATATTTTCTGTGTTTTAATATTGTAAACTGCCCTGGTCTTTTATGATATGGTAGTACAGAAATTCTTTTATAAATAAAGACATAAAATCACAAGTGATGGCGCTCCATTTGGGAACATAGGGAGCCGACTTATGCTGAATTAAATGACTGGTCCATAAAGATGCTCTCAAGGCAAATCTTTAAAAAATATAGTATAAAGACCAGCAACTGGGAATTACTGGCCTACAGGCGCTCCAGTTGGAGAACAGCCTCTACCAAAGGTGTCATGGACTTCGAAGACGCTCAAACTCAGGATGAATGGGAGAAACGAGCTAAGAGGAAGGCACATTTGGCAAACCCTCACCATGATCAGCTCCCACCTAGAAACCTATGTCCCCAGTGTGGAAGGACATGTGGATCCAGAACTGGCCTCCACAGTCATTTACAGACTCACTGTTAAGACTGTGTTCATGGAAGACAATCTTACTCGGCTATGAGTGATTGCCAAAGAAGAAGACACTGACTGGCAGTGGTTCTCCAGGATTTCAGACTGGGACATTCCCAGCGCTACCTGGAGAAGCGAGGGGTTGAAGCTGGGACCTTCTGTATGCAAATGGATGTCCTACCACTGTGTTATGACACTCAGTTGGTTAGAGTGTGGTCTGATAACGCCAAAGTTGCAAGTTTGATCCCCATATGGGATAGCTTCAGATTCCTGAATTGCAGGGGGTTGGACGAGATGTCCCAACTCTTCAGGTCCATGATTCTATGATCTCCACCAGGCATCTCCATGCTCAGCTGGAACCACACAGAAAGCCACTCTAGACTCTGTAACTCCTGCCCCTTCATCTGCAGTGGCCTACTCTAGGTTTGCTGGCCACACCAGACTATGACAGAGATATCAAAGCTGGCCAATAAATTGTGTGTGTGTGTGTGTGTGTGTGTGTGAAATTCATCGCAAGCAGAATAAGACCAGTGCAAAAAGAAAAAACACCCCTATTTCTTTTTAAAAAAGAAAATACTCAAATAAAGTTTCTGTAGCAGTACAAAGCTTGATATGACCTTGAAGTAACAAAGCGCTGTAACATTTTTACTGCCTGTATGCACATCTGCACATAATATTTCCCCCTGCTGTGCCTACCCATTCAGTGTTTGTAAGCAAAAACCTCATAGAAAAATGTACAAGACACATTCTTATTTCTTTAGAAAGCACCAACCCGATTTTCTGCTGGCAGGATACCGGTGTATTTCATTGGAGTTTGCATTGTGGCTGAAATAACATGGAGATAGACACAGTTGAGTCCCATTGGTTTCAATCAGATTTAAGCACGCAGCAACTGTGCACTGGATCATGGCCAATACATAGAACCTACAGCAGGGAAAATATCATTCCTAGGTGGGTTGAGGAAGCACCACAGAAATCTCTCTCTCTCAACGTGACTCATCTGAACCCTGACTCACATATTCCTTGACGCCACATGGATTTTTGTTCCAGGACCTCAAGAGAAATTCTGTGGCTCTCTTTAGTTCCAGAGCAGCCCAGTAAGGACATGCAATCCTGTGGGTGGATTCTGTAAACATACGGCAAACTAGCAATAAGACAGTGATGGATGTGACAAAATATTCTGGAAAGGGAACAGGGGTGGGAAGCTTTGTGATCCCACCTGCCATTTTCCCTTGGAAAATAAAGAAAAAAGAAACAAGATATACAACATTAAAACAGATTGCCTTGGGCAGTTGTGGACCAGTTTTGTCTATGGGGAGAAATTGATCAATTGCTTTTTGATATCCCATGTCACACGAATGGGTTGTAAATGGATCATCTGAATTACGTCCCCTCACATGCAACCATGTTCCTTAATGGTAGTCACAATATTCCTCAAAAGAGCTTAAATTTATCTACTACAAATGGACCCAGAATATTAATTATTATTAGGGAAAGCTGCAATTCTTTATTAATACAACCCATGGCGATTCCCACTAAAGCATGTCTACCACATCATTTTGCAAGTCAGTGCACTAGGTCACAGCTAAAGACATACTAGCTATAAGGTAAGGTGGGAATCTCATGCCCACTTACCTCTGAGTAAGCCTCAACAGCACTGGATTTAGGGTGGTGTGGGTGGTTCGGAGGTAGTAAGCATTAGAAATCAACATGTCTTGGATAAAACACAGTGACTGCCTAGTATTATCTTCTCTGCATTTTTACTGTACTTTGCTTTCGAAATTGTTTTGCAGGTCTTTGGACTGTAATAAAGAATGTGTTGGAAGAAGAAGAAGAAGAAGAAGAAGAAGAAGAAGAAGGGGGCTTATAATAATGATATTGAGAAGTTCCATAAAAAAGCAACTGTACCAGAATTAATTATTGTGAAAATAAGAATGGGAGGGGTATTTTGTTTTCGCTCAGGGTGCCATATTATCAAAGTCTGCCACTGGCCTCATTGAAACCAATGGTACTTATTTCTGAGTAGATGTTGATAGGGTTACATTGTCAGCAGGGGCGTAGGAAGGGGGGGCGGTCTGCCCCATGTGCCATCATGGAGGGGGGTGACAAATTATCAAGGAACAATTAATGCCCTACTAGGGCAGTTTGTAAAAAACTTTTTTTAAAAAAATGCTTGCTCCAAAGGTCTTATCTTACTACACTAGGGATTATATCTGAAATTTCATGCATATTAGTTAATATCTTGACCCTCCTCCACGAAAATAACTGTTTACTTGGCTGTTTTCATATGTCGCGAAGGCTGAAATTTCAATTCAGTGGAGCCAAAACACAATCCATCCTGTAGATTTAAGTATCTGTCCACAGTCGCCTACTTGTTATCAGAGGCCCAGAATCCACATTCCTTTGTAAGAAAATATGAAATAACGTAAAACCATTTTGCAGGCAAAAAAAAAAAAATCAATGTGGGGGGTGACAATAAATTTTCTGCACTTGGTACCATCTGACCTTCCTACACCTCTGATTGTTAGGATGGGGAAAACAATGGGCTGGGGGCAGGAGAGGGTTTGTTAATGTCATTGCTGGTTACAGCTGACTTTTCACAAATCATAGAAGCAGAGAGTTGGAAGAGACCACAAGGAGCATCTAGTCCAACTGCCTGCAAAGCAGAAATCGTTCACCCATAATGGGGCTCTAATCCACAGCTATGAGATTAAGAGTCTTATGCTCTACCAACTGAGCTCTCTGATCACCACCAAACTGGCAACATTGGATTGAAACCAAAAACTGCCTTTCAAACAGGATTAGGACAAAAAATTGGATTAATCTTTTCAGCCACAAAAGGAAATGTATCATTGTGCCAGTATGCCATCATCCAGAGGAATGCTGGGGGGAAAACCCATAATCTTCTGAGGTAATCAATTGTCAAAAAGCACACGGTCAAGTCAATAGGTGTCACATTGTAAAATGGTTGGATATGATCCAAGTCAAGTTAGAAAAAGAAAAGAGATATTTGAAGTGTAGGTGGTGGCAGTTATGAACCTGAAGCTCATTAAGGAACTTAAAAGTGCATATATTAATTCGTAGGTCACCCCTTTGTCAAATACAAAGTGGGCTCAACTTTTCCTCAAGGAGAGAGCTGGTCTTTCAGAAGCAAAGCAGGGCTCTTCATGCACAGACTTCGATGGCAACAAAATTAGACTGCCTAGGGCAGGCAAAGGCAAACTCTGGCCCTCCAGATGTTTGGGACTACAATTCCCATCATCCCTGACCACTGGTCCCATTAGCTAGGGATGATGGGAATTGTAGTCCCAAACATCTGGAGGGCCAGAGTTTGCCTATGCCTGGCCTAGGGTCACAGTCTTGTGTACACTTACCTGGGAGCAACCCTCATTGAACACAATGAGACTTTCTTCTGAGTAAACATGCTTAAGATTCTGCTGCACATGCCGCTTAACAGAATGTAAGCAATCTATTACTGTGGGACTGCCACCTTAAACACATTTACGGTGTCTACTCAGAAATTAAGCCCCATTGAGTGTGTATGGGACATCAAACTGATTGTCCCACTGAAATTGCAGGCCCTGAAAGTAATAATAATAATAATAATAATAATAATAATAATAATAATAATAGTTTCCCCAGCCACTCTGGGCGGCTTCCAATCAAGTGTTAAAAACAATACAGCATTAAATATTAAAAACTTCCCTAAACAGGGCTGCCTTCAGATGTCTTTTAAAAAGAAGATAGCTGCTTATTTCCTTCACATCTGAAGGGAGGGCGTTCCACAGGGCGGGCGCCACTACCGAGAAGGCCCTTTGTCTGGTTCCCTGTAACCTTACTTCTCGCAATGAGGGAACCGCCAGAAGGCCCTCGGTGCTGGACCTCAGTGTCCGGGCTGAACGATGGGGGTGGAGATGCTCCTTCAGGTATACAGGACCGAGGCCATTTAGGGCTTTAAAGGTCAGCACCAACACTTTGAATTGTGCTCGGAAAAGTTCCGCAGTTCTCCTGGATTTTGCCCTAAATCTATTAAAAGCTCACTGCCTTGTCCTTGCTAAGCAGCCGGTAAGGACACAAAAATTGACAGAGCAGAATTCCTTTCCTAAGGCAAGATCAAAAGCGTGGAAATGATTCCGTCAAAATTTAGCACATCCGCCTTTCACAGCTGAAACACCCTCTCCATTGCTGTGCTCTGGCTTTCATAGACCAGTATGATCATAATCCTTTTGGACTTCGGCTGAAGTCATATATTCCCTAGCGAGACTCCATCACCTATCCCACCAATTTCAAAATAACTCTGCCAAGTGAGGTTTAAAAGTAGAGTTTTCTAGCAGAAGTAATGTGTGTTCACGGATGATTCCTTCTTCTGGTTTTTTACAGCATATGTTGTTCATAAATAATGTCGCAACAGGGCCGAATCTTCTTAAGGAAGGTGGTCATTTAATGTAAGTAAACCCACATTAAATATTGAAGGTTTGGGGAGGTTGAAAGCGGCTTTCTTCAAAGAGGTCACTTTTAAGTGAAGGAAGAGTTTGTATGTGTGTTGTGTGCGCACACATGTGGGGGGGGACAGCCTTGTGGTGGATGACACAGAGTTAATGGCTCGCAGAGAGCATATACATGTTTTTTAAAGATGTTTTATTGCTTACAAAAGGAAGCAGCCTAGGGAGACCTCTGGATACATAAACTGGATCGAGCCAGCTGTGGCTGTCAAGGCTAGGGAGAGATCCTGCACAATTAGCTTTTGTTAAAATAAAATACTTTTCGTAGAAGGAAATAAACATGACGCGGGGCAAAGATTCATGCTTTTAAATATACACACGGTTTGAATTTTTAATTAGGACTGCTAATTACAGTCATCAGAATAGCAGGAGAGAATGGATTTTTTTTTTTTTTACCTTCCACCGCACAGACAAGCCTTCAACCCCAGTGTATTTTTCAATGGCATTAATATTTTATGAAAATGGCCCTTTGCCGTTCAGCCTCTTCCAAGCTGCCTGCGAAACTGCCCCCCATTATGGATACCAATGCCTTTAAGTCATGTGCATTAGCAAGATGACAAAATGCAAAAGAGAGAGGGGGGGAGGGAAAGAGAGAGGGAAGCACCTTGTCAACCCATCACATCCATTGATTCTATTAGATAGTGTTAAAAAAGAAAAAAAGCAGTTGGGTGTGAGTTATAATCGAGCCGACACTAATGACGAAACAAGACACTAGCTGGGAGCAGCCCATTAGCTACGAGCCAGAAATTAATGCTTCTAATATTTTTGAACAAATTAACCTTAATGAACTGGCCAGGCATACATTACAGCATGTACTGATAAAGTCAATTAGGGAGGAGGAAAGAGGTGAGGCGCCTGTATAAATATACACACACAAATCTCAATAAACAGAAATAGAAAAGCGGATCATTAAAATTTCCCCACTAGAAGTAAAATATAGAAGGAATCAACAATACAGAAGGAGGGGAGGGGGGAGGCACACAACTCGGTCCCATCGTTTCCGGGATTTTAAAGGTAGAGATGCGAGATCACATTCGTCACAGGGTGATAGCAATTATCATGTGATAGCCTGGTTATTTGGAACGTTTGTCACTCCTTGGCTGGCTCTGTGCGCGGTTGGCTCCTCTCCCACGTGCATCCAATACTTGCAGGTGGGAACAGACGTCAACTAGGGAAGAACTTACTGCCAGATTAATGAGAGGCAGACAGATTGATTGATCACGGTCACAGGTCAATAAAAGTTGATCCAAACAGGGTAATTTACACAGTAAGAATTCAAATGGGTTTGACAAAATCAGCTGGATGAATATGTTATCATGGGCCTGATATACACAAGCCAGTTCACTAGCTATCAGTAAGTGGGTTTGGAAGACACCATCAGCGAAGGTTCAGTTGTACAGCATCTACCAGATAGGGCTGGGATAAGCTTCTGTCAGAAATTCTTGAGTCATTACAAGACACGGTAGACAAAACTGGACCAGTGGTTTAACTCTGTATAAGGCAGCTTCCTCCGTTCCATCCTCTCCTTCCTTCCTTCCTTCCTTCCTTCCTTCCTTCCTTCCTTCCTTCCTTCTTTCTTTCTTTCTTTCTCTTTTCTTTTCTTTTCTTTTCTTTCTTTTTTGGTTTAAGGTTTCTAAGAGAAGAAAATGTGAGTGTGTGCGGAAAAGAAGTAGAGGAAGAGAAGAGTAAAATAGCTCAGAGGTAGAGCACACACTTTGGACACACAAAGTCCTGGATTTGGTCCTTAGCATCTCTGTTTATAAAAGGATCAGGCAACAGGCGATGGGACAGACACTTGTCTGAAACCCTGGAAAGCCAGGCAGAGAAGACAATGTCCTGACCTGGTATAAAACAGTTGATTAAGGAAAAGAGAAAGAAGAAACGGAGAAAGGGACGTATTTGGTTCCAAAACGTAGAATCTTTGGGATCTCAAGGGTCACCCTACAATGCAGGGATCTCAACTAAAGCATCCTTGGCAGAGGACCTTTCAACCTCTGATTAAAAAGCTCCAAGGAAGCAGAGACCACCACCTTCTTTGATTATGTGCAAGAAAACAGGATATTAAGATAGCAACTTGTCTGCAAGGCTAGATCCCAGAGGTGTGGCACTTATTGTATAGTTCTGCATCTCACCCCCACCAGCCTTTCAATTTAAGATGGCCCAGTGTTCCTTTGTCCTTCATTCCTTCCTGGCAGAGGGGTCATGCCCTTCCCCAAAGTTCTCAATACACCCTTCAAGGAAAGGTTGCTGTCTCTGTCATACAGACTTTTCCCTGGCTATGTGGGCAGAGCCACCTGACAATCAGAACCCAACTGAGTCAAGGGCCCTTACAACTGGACTGCTGCCAATATTCTTCATCTCTCCTGACCCACTCAACCTGCAGCTGATGCCAGCTGCAGCCATCACCAGAGGTGAACCCTTGAGAGTAAGCTTGCTATGTTAGCTTGGTCTAGTGTTGGAACAGTTGTTAAACCAACATTTACATCAAACAGGACAGTGGGATCAAGCAGGAAGAAACCAGAAACATTCACTTCCATTTTAAAACAAATTACAGTTCCCTATTACACCTGAACTAAGGGCTGGTTGGTTTCAGAACAAAAGGCAGGATTTAAAACCATGGTTTGATCCTGACAGTGGCGAAGGAAGGGGTTGCGGTGGGTGCGGTCCGCCCCAGTGTCAACACTGAGAGAGGGTGACAAAATGAGTTTTTTAAAAAATTGGGCCTACAAAACTTTTTAGGTGTGACGTGGGGCTTAGGTGCCTGCGGGTTCTGCGCTGCCTGAAACAGCAGCGTGGAACTTCCGTCTGCCTACTGCCTCTCCCTCAGCCGCCCCACAGCTGAGGAGGAGGCAGTGGAGAGTGTCGGAGTGGTTCACCCCACCCCCATGGGCACAGATCACCCCACCGCTATGGGCGGATCGCCCCATCCCTGGCTGCAGGACACGCCCCCGCACCAGGCACCCAAGCAGCTAGCTACGCCGCTGGATCCTGATGGTTCTCACTAACCATATAGTTTAAACCAGCCCTTCTCAACCCAGATGTTGTTGAACTACAACTCCCATCACCCCTAGCTAGGAAGGCCAGAGCTCAGGGATGATGGGAGTTGTAGTCCAACACCATCTGGGGACCCACAGGTTGAGAACCGCTGGAACAATTGCAAACCTCGGTTCTCTGAGTTTGGCTGTAACAGGGAACTGTGGTTAACTTTTTGTTCCCACTGTCCTTGTAGACATAAAAGAGG